TTCACAGAGGGCCGTAAGAATAATTCATTTTTTCAGTTCATTTGTTTTTATTTATAGTAAAATGTTTTTGTTAGCTCCTTTATTTCAATCCTTTTGCCAGGCTTACCTCCATTCAATGAACGTCATGCACAGAGATTTAACCTCAAAGAATTGCCTGGTTGAAACGGACGAGGTAAATTGGCTGTTTTGATGATTTGTTTGTAAAGGAGATTTTTTTGTTCCTATTTTCCTATCCATATGAATGCAATATTTTAAACGAAAACCAAAGCTGTGTCACCAGCTCAGACATAACGTAGTAACTCTGCAACCGGAATCATGTGTTGGAAATATTAGGAAGTTTGCGATTGGCTGAGGAAAACAATTACGCTGATTGCATCGAGGAAGGACCAAGGACCATCAGGAGCGCACTCAGAAGGAGTATCGTAAAACCTAAACTAAAGATATTACGGCGGCAAATCAGAAGAAAGAAAGCAAAAGCCAATAAAAAATCACAGTGATGAAATGCGAACTGTTTGAAGCGTGCAAAACGATTTTATTTTGCATCTGATTGGTTGAGAGGGTAGCACGATTTTTCTGGACCAATCACAAAACGTGATAAAGAAATAACAACGGGGATTGCTTTCGATACATAGCGTTCACGGGAGTCACACAACCAAACTATCCCTTTTCTCTCAAACGAACATATTATTAGAGCAGCTTTAAGGCCCACTTTTTTAGTTGTGTTTAGCAGTTACTCAAATCGAGTTTGCACAAGTTTCCTTGTATTAGTTTTACTACAATCCTCCTTCTTTCATCATGTGCAGGAGTCAGGCGATATGTCAGTGGTTGTGGCCGACTTTGGCTTGGCTCGTGTGGTCAGAGACAAACCCTTATCGCCTCTTGATCAGATATCATCGACCATACCTCCCTCTTCAGGACGAAAAACACGAAGCCCTACCGGCAACAAGCCGCCGCCTCCTCCAAAGAAAAGGTGTGATGCTTTTGTGATGGTTCTTATCTAAAGAAAATGATTCTTAATTCGGGATGCTAACTATTATATTTACTTCCGGAATCTAACTATAAAGTAGTAAATCACTGTTGTTTCTTAGGTACACTGTGGTGGGTTCCCCGTACTGGATGGCGCCAGAAATGATGTTGGGTAAGTTGACTTTTTACTTTAATTTGCTCGAGCAAAAACGGTTGGGCTTCACTTTTTGTTTGAGAGGCGGTGGCTTGTGATTAGTACGCTGAGCTTTTGATCGAAAGTTCTGGGTTCAAGCTCTGGCTTGGTCAGTGAGTTAAGTGTATATGTAAGCAGTATGCTGTACCTACACAATGCCTCTCTCAACCCAGGAGTATAAATGGACATTGGTAGGTTGTCAGAAAAACCTTACGAAATGCCAGGATGTGGGGGGTGACAAAACGATTGCCTCACTGAAATTGCTGGGTTACCCGCACCTCGCTGGAAGGGGGAGGGAGTTAGGGCTCTGGCAAGGGATTTTGGAATTGTGCTCTGGCAAGTTGGACGTCTTGGGTCGAGTGCTGCCTTGCTTGTTACGTAGCGCCCTTTTCATCATCTGTTTCATTTATCTTTTTAGGAATGACGTACAATGAAAAGGTCGACGTTTTCTCATTTGGGGTTTTAACATGCGAGGTATGATTTTTACCTCCATGGATCAATTTGCTTTGTCATTTCATGTCATTCCTGTTTAAAGTCCACAGTCAATCTCCATATTTACACGTTCAAGAGGCTCCACTATCACCTCCTTCCTTTTTTGTTTCAGATAATTGGCCGAGTAAAGGCTGATCCAGACTTCCTCCCTCGATTATCAGTAAGAATTTTCTTATACTCCTTAACTTCATAATTCTAGTTGCTTTAGTTTGACTATGCCTGGGTAAATCTTGTCTTCTATTTACACCTAAAACAGCGCTAGGAGTTCATAAATTAATTGTTTGATCCTCGAAGTGATCTGTACAGATCTTCTCCAAATTTCATAACAAGTTTCGGTACAAAGGTGCTGAAAATAGACAAAGTTATAAGCTGTGGATATATTGGTATAACTTCAACGTCCTTTTCGCTGCATTTCATGGGGAAATAAACAATTGGTTCTTAGAGTTGAAGCGAAAGAAAGATTTTGCGTGATAGGGTTGCGGGAAATGTAGAGATCCATCAACTGAATCAGTGTCATTGCTTTCTTAAAAAATTCGGTCACGTATTAATCGTTCTCGCTTTTGTGTCCACAGAATTTTGGAATTGATGAGGAGAAATTCCGTAAAGAGTTTTGTGAGGGATGTCCCGAGTTATTTTACAAAATAGCTTTCCTTTGCTGTGATCTGGACTCAGATAAGAGGTAAAAGAAAGGTTTCCTTGCTTGGAATTACAGATTCAAAGTACGTACACACAAATTATTTGTGTAGCAAATGACAACAGGGTTCAGAACATTAAGCTATAAAATCATTTTTATGGCGAACTACCCGGTGACATTTCTTCTGATGTTTATCAAACCACTGATTGAATCAGTTCGTTATATTACAGCTTTTATGCCATAATATGTTGGGTAGTTTGCCAAGGATATTGAGGAGATTTCTTTCGGCTCTAGACTCTTTGGTTATGAGAAAAAGTCTTGCATTTTACTCTAATTAATCCAAGCAAAGATATTGTTTCTTTAACCAAAGCGGAAAATAATTAACAACAGTGGTAACTTGGTTTTTTGTACACGTTTTTTGCCTCGAGTCTTGGGTTTCCCTCGCTTGAAGCACTTTGGGTCTTTTGTGATCAAAACAGCAATACGCTTTCTGGGAAGCAGAGAAGTCAAACAAATTCTATGTGCGGTTTTTGACTCTGAGATTGCCTGGACTTTAGTGGGTGGCCACGATATGTTTGCGTTTTACTGAAGTACTTTTGTCCTCCTCTAACAGACCCGAGTTTTGTGACCTGGAGAAGTGGTTGGAGGCCTTACTCCTTCATTTAGACGTTGGTTTGCCTTTGCCATCTGATATGAGGTTCACTCTTCTACCTGCCACCCTCATGAGAAAAATCAGTGAAAGTAATGAAGGAAGCGGGCAGACATGAACGAGATCCTTCTATCATAGCCAAAGCCTTTTGGAAAAGATAGATTGCACAAAACGACAGTTGTTCGTTTCTGTCGTTGCTTGTCCTTGGGCAATTTCCAGAGCACTGTAGCAGCTTGGATTCCTTCCCTCCCAGCAACTTTATCATGTACCAAGTTTGGAGGATTTGATCGCTTCCTGTGGCAAGCTGAACCGTCCTGTGAATATATCTTGGTGGATTCCACCCGTGTCAACTCTGTCAGCGGTCAGGCGTCAGTCTGTTCACCCTCACCCTCTCCCTCTTGGGTGACATGTACGAATGTGACGTTCGCACCAGCTTTTCCCCTTTTAAAGGAAAAGTTGTCAGGTCGTTCACAATGAAAAAAACGAAACAATGCGCGCAACTGCAGCCGTACCGCGTATAATTTTTCTCAGTTTTAATGACTCTACTCACTTCCTTAAAGCTGCGAACCTCCTGGCCTGTACAGGAATTACAAGGCTTTATGAGAAATAGATAATTCTTGTTACTTGGTCGGCTGGTAAAAAAACAACAACAACAACAACAACAACAAAAACATTAGAAAATCGACAGAAGAAAACGAGTTTCGACTCAACCTGAGATAAACAGTTCTCGAAGTGGTTAGCGTGGCTCTGGGAACCAGATGGGTAATTTGGGAATTTAGTACTCGAACAAAGCACATTGTCTTACACCGCTGAATTGTAAATAGATTTATTTTTTCATTCCCCTTTTTACTCAAGCACGCGCTGACTATCAACAGTTGTAATAAAGCGTCAAGTTACTGACGTGCGAAAACCAATCGTCGGAGAATCTTTAGAGTTTTTTTTGTTATTTATACTCTCCACTTGTCACAATGACCGGTCGTGTGTTACCAAATTGGAATAAAATCAGGATTTTATAACATCTGCGTATGATGGTTCGTGTCCCCATCGGCGGGGGGTGGGGGGGACTTTCCACTTCTCTCGAAAAAGTTCTTAGTCAATTTTCTATGAAAGGTAAAAGTGTAGAACCTTCATTTCAGAGCCAGGTCTGACTTATAACTTCCAGTGAGACTAGATGTCCTCTACCATGGTTGAGGAAAACCTGGGACAAAAATATTACGAGCTAAAAATCCCGCAAACCTGTCGGTCAATTACTTTTGTAGCTGTGGAATCGGGTAGTCTTCCTTTTTAGTATCGAAAAGCCCAAAGCAGTAATCACATCGACCAGTCAGAATGAGGTTTAACATCATCAGCCAATATGAGCTCAAAGTTAAAATCGGTGAACTACTTTGAGCGCGGGAGAAAGCGCTTTTTTCTGTTTTGTCTGGCTTTTTCTTTTCTTTTCTATGAAATTGTATATTGCTAACCAAAAATGTTGGGTGCCTTATACAAATATGATCCGAGCCTGAGCAATGAATTTGAAGTTTTGAACATTAACTTTGTATAGTGACATTTCATATTTCATCTTTATGAATGTTTAACTATTGCTGCACGAAAATCAGCGGGAAAGGCCATCTTTGCACGGAACTTCCAAATTGTAAGTTCTGTCGAATATAGTCGAGTATATCGCAGAAGACGCAGGGCTGTTTGGTTACACTCCCTGACCTAAGATCAATGATATCAACCCCGAACATGTTTGGAAAAATAACGAGGGTAAACGGCTTGTGAAATCTTCCCAAGAATTGAACTACTTTGCTTTGTTGTTTATAGAAGTCAATCTTGACTTTGTGTTATAAACTCCGGTACCCGTTGCTTGTTGCTAAAAGCTTTTTATAGTCTAAGGTCACGACTATTGTCAAGAATTGTTTACTTAACAAATTGATTTCAAAACAGATGTTACGCACGAGTGATCACAAAGAGATTTCTGGAACCTGTTTCCAAGTCTGAAACTTCTAGCTATCATTAAAATTAGATGATTTTTCTAGAAATATGGCGGATTGATATCACATCACATCGAATGTCACAACGAATAGTTTTTCGTCTTGCTGTGGCTGTCAAAAAGATTCAGTTCTCTTGTGTGGGATTTTTGAAATGGAAAGGAATTTCTCCCCAACGGATTAGGGTTCTCATCGCGAATCAAGAATGAGTGACAGGGACTTAAACTTGAGGTAAGAATCAATGTAAAGAACTAATGTTTTGATACCGAAAAAAACACGATTTAATCACAGATGACTTCACCGAATCGCTTTTAAAATCAAATTTTCAGCTGGGAACAACACTGCCGAGAAATTTTAAGGTTGTGGTGAATTATTTAGCTTCCATCGACCTACCAAGTGGTAGCCATGTAAAAGAACAAACTGCTTCGCGGCAGGTGTCCATTTTACTGCAATGTTTACTGTATCTTTTGATCTGAATCCATTCCTGTTCTTGTCGGTCTTAGAGTAAATAACTAGTTTTCGATTTTGAGCTCGGAATACAAAGGAATGGGCGTTAACTTGATATGGCTCACGGACTGGGTGAAGTGTGGCTTGCCTTACGAGAACATAATCTATTTGGTTCTTTGGTTCACTCAGAGAAGGAAGGTGTCTGTCTAAGGTTTTCATTGATTAAACTCACCTCTATTCTGTTCGTTTAAAGTTTGGGAGCCAATCGAGTTGTGGCTGGAAACACGAGATCGATGAAACTGAACCGGCTTTTGTAGAGTATCGTTTTAAGCCTGACCATTGTCCTGATATAGAGAGGGTAGTGTATTTTACACACACTTGACATAAGAGGCAGTTATAGTAACGGAAATATTGCAACAGTTAAGTTACTTATGCGGCTTTGAATGAGTCGTGCTACTTTTGTCAGTAATCAAGATTGAATGGTACTTTCAGAGAGCAAGCCGACCTTTCGCAAAAATTTTGTACAACCTTGGAACTAAATATGAGCCAAAGAAGTCACAATTAGCAATACTTTTGAACACCATTATGGTTATTTCACTGATAAAATACATTTTTCATCAGAGGTGTCCTGTAGCACCTTTAACTAATTTTTACTATTCTTATGTTCGGTTTTTTTTCCATTTGCTCAGGTATCAGAGAGATCAATAAAGTAACATGGAGACAAAAGATATTGTAAAATGGTCCATGGTCGGTTTTTTCATCCTCTTTTTTTTGACTGGCCTCTCTCTGCTCATTTTCGCTGTCACCGTATCAACGCCATTCGGAGACTACCTTACGATGAAAGCCGCCGCGTTCCCGGTGAATTATGGACTCAGAATTGGTCTTCTGATCCTTCTTTTCTTCATTACTGGGCTGTTTGTCTTTGCGGTAGTGAAAGAAAATAACAGACTTCTAACATTACTGGCCATCTTGTTCATCATTTTGTTTCTTGTCGAGTTCATCATGGGAATAGTGTATTTTACGTTGAAGAATGAAATGATTGTCGGTAAAAAGAAACTTAGCAATGGGCAGCAAATGCTGGCCGAGTATGGAAAGGACGAGAAAGTCACCAAGGCCTTCGATCAGATCCAGCAGACTTACGCCTGCTGTGGAATTGTTGACTATCGTGATTGGTTTACTTCAAAATGGGCAGCAGCTCAGGTTGGTGAAAATATTTGCTTTTTGTTTTCTAGACGTGTCTTTTGCTAAAATGTAACCCCAGTATTAAGACGAAGTTTAGGACATGTTATCCTCTTTGGAATTGTAGCTGAAGGTAATCATGAAGCGTGCACGCCCGAAATACGCCAACTTCCTATCACATCCCAAGAGGCACTAGGCATTTTCCCATCTAAATTATGGCTACTAAATGCGTCCGAAATATGTCCTATAAATAGGCCAATATAATTGGTAGTAAACACGAGATTTTTGAGGTGTGGAATGATTTTTGTTTAGACTCGTATCATCCTTTCCATCAATTTCCGCATGTTTCTGATAGAGTTAAGCAATAAAGCGCTTTTGATTGAGCTCGTAAAACCAAAATGAAAATAATCTCAATGGCCAAAGTGTGCAGAGGAGCCGATACTCTTAGATCGGAAAAGTAATCTCGTTCTCATCCAGGAGTCCCGCTGCTCCAGATTTGTATCTACCCCTTATTTGTGTCAGTTGTGTGCAATAAAGTCGGTGACTATTTTTTCCTTAGGGGGTGAACAACAGGGTACCAAAGTCATGCTGTAAGTTCCCGACAGCCACCTGTGGTAATGATATGGACTTAAAGAACCCGATGGATTTCATCAATATATTAGGATGTACGGGACTAAATTTCGCCTACGATGACAAACTGAAAGTGGTGGGAGGGGTAGGTTTGGCTCTCGGTTTTCTGAACTTATTCGCCCTATTGTGTTGCATCATATTCTGCTTCTGTTTCAACGCCGCGCGGGGACTTAGTCCTAAGGACGCCTTAAAAGGAGAGGAGCCTAATGACCAACCGTCGTCGAGCTCATCGAATAAGGGCCGTCGACGTTCCTCAGCTCAAAGCTCATCAGGATCCTTGCGGCGCCAACCCTCTAAGAAGGCTCTGCGTGCATCAAGGGAGGACCTTAATAATGACGAGAACGATGATGACTTACCCTCTTACTCAAATAAGGATTTACTCGATAAATCTGAAGGATAGTCAGGAATCATTGCCCACTACCCCTCAATAAAATGTCTTAGGAGAATCAACTCGAGTTGAAGGTAATAGCCAACAGCTTTTGTAAAACCCTTTCTTGATTTCTTGACGGAACGAGAAAATCATATATGCTATAGATGTTTTTCATGTAAAAATATATGTCTATCCACGGGTATCCACAATTATACCATGACTAGAATGTCGATACGAAAAGAGGCCAGCGTGAAATAGAAGGGAGGGGCACCCTTCTTTATCGTCCCACTTAAGGAGCTAGCCTACACTGACTTTTACGAAGAAACTATCACGCGTGTCCAATATCTACATGTTGTATACTTGAATATTAAAACAAGCTGAGGGAAGAGTGACAACTTGTTTTTTCTTTTTCTTTCTTTTTTTTTTAATTTCGATAAAGAAGACTTTGAAATAAAACCTGACTTTCCTCCTTCAAAGGTATTTTCCGTTTATTCAACCAGTGCCCGACTCAATTTTCCATCTCTCCGTTCACTAGATTACTCATCCAGTAAAAACTCTGAGCAGTTCTTCCTCTGTCATTAACTGTTCTCCTTTCCTCGAAGTTCACGAGGACATTTTGGTGCCCTTAAATGCAAATGTATAATTTATAACTGATATTGTGTAAAAATGGTTCATGGTATTTTCACAATAATTACGCAAGTTTTATTGAAGTACACTGTAGTAGGCCAAGCCAGGATCTGTAATTATAATAAACAATTTTTTTGGTAGGCTGTTATCACAAGTTGGTTTATTTACTAGTAATACGACAGTAGAAATGTTTTTTCCAAATTTATGTGTTACAAGTGTTGTCATTGATTGAGTTTATTTCGAATTTCTGACGAAAAAAAAAAAGGCTGCCGAGACCCGGGATTGTTCAGAGTTCATACGAACTCTCCGGTTTTGAACCAGGGACCTTCAGATCTTCAGTCTGACGCTCTCCCAACTGAGCTATCTCGGCTGTTGAGATTGTTATGGTAATTTTTGCATAAATATTTCTATAATAAATAATATCGTCCTTACTGCGTCTGCGCCACATTTTGCCTCGCTCTGATACAACGAACAAAAAAACAAAAATGGCGCTTCCGACATTACAACCGTACTGGCTGAAAAACTACAAAAACAGGAATGAGGGACTCCTTGTTCGGAGAACACAATTCGAAGCGGAAAGAAGGGAAGCTTGGGATAATAACGCACGATATTTCAATAGATCTAACGTGGAGACTACTAAACAACGAGTGTGGGGATCAAGAGAATCTTACGAGGACAGGTGAGATCTGCAAGGATATTGCAAGTTTTATGACTTGAATGCGGAAATACGAACCTTGTTTTTTTATTTCTGCCCAGATTGACTATTTCATCAGTCATACTTCAGTCTTTGCCCTTGTATTTCCTTTATCTCATAGATCCAGTTCTGCCACTTTGAGAACTGGCATGTGTCGATCATGCATGGTCATATATTTATATAATCTCCTTGGTAACATTTCATGCCATTTCAACTTTACCACAACATAATTCAACACTTAGTCACTCCAGCTTACATAAATACGTTAGAGAAATGTGTATTCCCTGGGTAGTATCACATTCTTAGTGTGGTATCACATTATTTCAAGGGTATACTTTTCAGTCAATCACTAAGGAATGTCCTTAGGATGAACATCTCAAGTCATTCATGCGATCGTTGAATTAAATGAAATGTCAAACTTTTCAAGGGTGATTTAAGTCTTCTCCAGGGCCACATGAGTGAATGATATTTTGTTTTTAACAGCATGCAAGCACTGGATGGTTTGTACAAGGAGAACATGAAACAAGATAAACAGCAAAGATTAGATGAGAGGAAAAAAAAACTGTCTGAAATGTTGTTAAAGGAGACTAAAGAGTATGAGGTAAGGTGTAAAACAAGCTTTACTATTTGACTGTAGTGTAAGGTAGTGTTTTTTTTTTGGTTTTCTGTAATTGAGACTTAAAGTAGATTTAAACCAAATCAATTAGTTCTACTCACAGGGTATTTAAGAGTCTAGTTGGTGGTCAATTTGAGAGAAAGGGGAAATATGAACATTTGCCATGAGACTGTCAACTCTTTGATTTTGATCTTAAAGGTCATTTGTGTATTGAACAACCACAATAGAGCTTTTCATTTGCTTTTTAATTGAATCTCTAGGAAGAGCTTAAGGCAAAAAGACTTGGTGGAGCTGGTAGACTGTTACAGATGAAAGAGAGGTTTGTAATGTTAAAAAAGAAAACTTGCTTTGATCATCTGTGATGTTTGTAGTAAACATGTCCTGCTGTTTAAAGTTGCTTACTATGTTGTCACTGGATTAAATTTTCATAAAGTGCACTTTTCTTCCCAGGGCTGATGAGCTAAAAGCTGACAAGGAAGCCAGAAGAAAAGAAGTATGAGCTTTATCATTATTTTAACTTGGATAGTGTATGTAAGTGTTTGGGAATAAACATTTGCGCATTAGATAAGTCATAAACTCAGATTAATGTCACTTACAAGACATCATTCAACAGCATGAAGTTCCCCCACAATGCTCCAAAATATTGCTTCTGATTGCATTATTTTGGACAGATATATGTATACTTATTTTTTGATTTAGCTATGTTTAGCCATTATTGTATTCTGTGCATGAATGAGGGTCTCAAGAAACCAAGTAGTAATCGTTTATTTTTGATGATGCACTAATTGAACTTTCTTCTCAGATTGCTGAACAAAAATTGTATGATCATTGGAAACAAAATGCTGTAGAACTTAGAGAGGTGAGCATTCATAGTGATTGTTGAATGCAGAGATATTTAATCAATAAGTTTTGATCATTTTAATTGGAAATTCAACAACTTCGTGCACCAGCATTGTGATATTTTTCTGTTGAACATGGTGATAGTCTGCATGTACTGAAGACACAAGATCAAGTGATGATCATGCTCTTTTTTGTACCCTGTTATTTAGTTCCCTGGTGATAATCTGATGGCCTTCTCATTATGTGTTACACATTACTTCTGATGCTTCATTTCCTTTTGAAAATCCTGGTTATTTGATAATTTATTGTCTTTTCCAATCCCCATCGCTGTAGATTGAAGCTGACCAGCTCAGAGAACATGTAGTGAACAGCTGGGCTGATCAAGTGTCTGACCGGGAAGAGGTAAGGACTGTCATGAAACCTTGCCAGAATTTCTATTCCAACTAAAACTTTTTTTAAAAGTAATTGTCAGGAATGGAGCTGAGGAAAATTTCAGTGGATGAACATATAGCATCCAGCTGGATGGGCCTTGAAAGAAATAGAGATTAAAAGCAGGTGATGGATAGGTAAATTCCTGAAAAGTCTCATTCTGTTCTTATCTCATTGAATGGCTCTCCTCTTTTTCAATGTAGAACTTGAAGTCAGCAAGACAAGAAGACAGAAGGTTAGTGTTATGTCAATACTAGTAACTCAAGTTATCTATTTAAGCTACTTGAAAGTGTACAGTGTGTTTGGTAAGTTGAGGCAAGAACATATTCTCAGTTACATGTATCATTAAGCAATTTTCAATAGTGTCAAAAACATGAAATTCAGGTTTGCATTTACCTCTTGACACTCAATCAAAATCAAAATGCACCCAAGGAACAGGTTCGCATGTAAAATGTGTACTGATTTTGTTTCTACTTATTGTTTCACAGAATGGATGCTGTTATGGAAAAAGATAGGTTACTTGCTCTTGAGAAAGAAAGAGCTAAGGAAGAGGAAAAGAAGAGGTTTGTTTTAAAATAATGCTAACCTTAAATCTATTTACACTGTAGTTATACTTATTTCAGGGTTTGTACCCATCCTGGAAAACCTGAAAAATCCTGGAATTTTATTTTGCTATTTTCCAAGATTTGAAAGTCCTGGAAAAAGATTTCAGGTCTTGGAAAGTCCTGAAATTGCCTAAACTTGAGCAACAAAGTTGTCAGAATTTAGGTTATAAGAAATGTATGTAGACCATAAGGAGAATTGATTTTGAAATCTAGGGAATAAAAGGGTTTAAGGGGAAATTTGGAGCCCTGTAAAAATCAATCTGAGTCCTGGAACAAAAAGATAAAGCTATACCCTCCTTGTATGTTAGTTATGAGGAGGAATAATACTCAGAAGTCATTTTTACGTAGCATTGCCCAATTCTACATATGACAGAGATTTTTCTCCTATTATTCTAGAACTATATTCTATTCTACATTTGTAAACATTTCAGTTCCATATAACTGTAGTTTGATCACTTTTCCTTACATATAAGCTCAAAAAGACTTGATAATGTTTAATTTTTCTTACTTGTTCATAGAGAGCAAGAAAATCTTGCTGCAGATCTGAGAAAACAAATGGAAGAACTTAAACTTAGAGATGAAGAGGTATACTTTGTAAACTGAACTCCTTGTCATATTTTCAGTCTAGTGTGGGTAGCCATCCTTCAGGATGGGAGGAAAAAACCAAAAACCTGACCGGCCATGCAGTTTACTTCAAGCAAAATTACCCCTCTAGATGAATGACTGATGCCTGTAGATTTAAATTGACCTTTTTTTCTCGACTAATTTTACTTCGAGGAGGTCACTGAGCCAATAAATGTATGAATAAAGCCAAATCAAGCTGATAGACCAAATATTAAAACTACAGTAAGGAGGATTAGATGAAGTACATGTACGTGTTGCTAAATTACACCCTTCAATGGAGAAGAAATACTTTCACCAATTATTACCCAGAAAAAAAATATTTGTTCAATTAAACATTAGTCCTTCAGTTACCACTTGTGAACATCCTGTAACAATGTAAATGTTATTGTGTTTGTTGGTAGGCTCAAATGCTAAAACAGGAACAAGAGGATTTGCTCAAAGCACAAAGAAGGCTAGAACAGGCAGTAAGTTTTCATGGTGAGATTGTTTTAATTAGACTGTTTTTATGGAGACTTTTTGGTGTTAAAATCAATAATGAAATACAGAGAGTTGAATTTCATGTTCAGATTTTGTGGCTGTTCACTTTGTTTATTTACCAGCCCCCAGTTCGTGTGGTTGACTGAGGATTGTGTAATTTGATAGATCTATCTCTTTAAACATCTTTAATGATCTTTGAAAGTGATCAGGATCACTACAACTTATCATTTGCTCCTAGGAGGAAGATCGAAGGCTGCTGGATGAAGCAAGGAGAAAACGAGAGTTTGGGTGAGTTAACTAATGAGTTGTAGGGTTAGTTAGTCAGTTTGATAGTCAACTTCGTCAATCATTATGTAAATCAATCAGTCATTCACTGAGTGAATCAGTCACTCAGTTAGTCAGCCATTCAAGCAATCAGTCAGTCAGTCAGCCAGTGACTCAAGCAGTCAGTCAGTTAGTTAGTTAGTTAGGTCTTTGCTCAGTCATTTAGTCAGTAAGTCAGTTTGTTAGGTGGTCAATTGATCAGTAGGCCAGGCAGTCTGTCAGTCTCTCAATCTTTAAAATTTGAAGTACTGGAAACAAGGCACTGGATTCACCCTTGAGGTCTTACGATTTTGTGTGAGTTGTAAAGATGATGTGTCAATCATGTTCTTGTGACTGTCATTTTTTAGGCGTGTCCTGATCCGTCAACATAAAGCACAGATGAAAAGAAAGAGTAAAGAGATACAAGAGGCTTTGGTAAGAAATGATTGATCACAAGAAATTTGAGGGTTTATGCAATACAAACAGTGATCTTTATGTTTAAATTTTAAAGTTTGTCCTATACTCTAAAATGAATTTTTCAATGACTACATTGAGATTTGACTCTGTGTCTAATTCAAATATGTGACCCTTGGTTTTTGCAGGAGCTGGATTTGAAGATTTTAGAAGCATTGGCCAAGAAGGTAGACATCTTTTTGGTTTATCAAAGTGGCTTTTTTATGAAATAGATTTCAACTGGTATAATTTATTTTTATTGACCAGAAATCAGAAAGTGAGACACATTTGATAACCTTTGCAAGAGGAGAGCTAATTTTCTTTGTCTAAATTCTTGTAATGAACAGGAAGATCAAGACAAAATAGTTGAGACTTCAAGACGAGAGAAAGCCAGAGCTGATGCAGAATACATGAGACAGGTAATGGATCTTCAAATTTACTTCAAATGTTTTCCATGTGCAGAAGTTTGAGATACATGTGTCTATATTGTTTCTTTTAAAGGTTGTTGAACAGCAACTTAAGCTTGAACAACAAAGGGAGGCGGAGTTGGACATGCTCTACAGGTAATGATAACAATCTCACATGCAGCCATCGTTTGAATCATTGGCTTGCACTGATATAAAGTTCATAACAGCTGTGTCAAGGTTTGAAGACTAATCCTGGATTGGGATGGGTTTGTTTAACTTTGCTTTGTGGTGGAGGTTGATCCAGCCAACTTCCATCACTCTATCAACCCATCATTAGTAAAAAGAAAACATCCTTTATGAAGTTTTCACACTAGTCTCTGATTGTGGACATTACTGTCCAATTTTAGACACTAGAGTCCGAAGTTAGACATTTGTATAGGATTTAAGACACAAGTGTTTGATTTTAGACGATACTGTCCAATGTTAGAAACTAGTGACCAATTTAGACATTTATGTCCGAGTTTAGACACTAGTGTCCGATTTTAGATACTAATGTCTGATGTTAGACTCTAGAGTCTGATTTTTAGACACTCAAGTCTGAAGTTAGACACTAATGTTTGATTTTAGACACTAGTGTCAAATCAATGAATAAGAAAGGAAAATTTGTTATCAATGGTAATCAATCATTTGATCAGTACTTAAACATTTATTCAAGGTTCGTGCACTGGTCTAGTACAGTGCATATGTCTTTTTCTCTTTTTCTATTTAAGAACGTCAACAATTTTGAATCTTTAAAATATTTAAAACCCCAACTTAGATTGGAATTAAAAATTCATTCAAAGTGCAAAGTATTGGACATAATGTCCTGCTCTCCTTGGAGTTGAGTGGATAAAACCTTTATTGGACCAGACATTGTCCGTTGACCGCCTGTTTTTCCGAGCCCTGATACTTTTCACTGTACATTTCCTAAGGTGTTGAGAAGGAAAATTAGTTTAATTACGAGCCTCTTTAGTTGGTGATCATTTCATTTATATACGTGACCTTAATGTTTGTTTGATTCAAGGGGGATATTGAAAGGAGAAATTAGATGCTAGTCACCCTCAGGGATTTAAGGGGTTGAAGTATCTTTTATTAATCGTAAATTTGTGATGTGTAGAGATGAAGCAGCGCGAATGTGGACCAAGAGAGAAGCAGAGTGGGAACGGGAAAGACTGGCCAGAGAGAGATTGATGGCTGAAGTAAGGAAAACACGTTGTGTACATCTGTTTTTTAGACTTTTTCCCAAGGTTGCATTTTTTGTCAACAGCTTGTATTGTCCTCTGCTAGGTTTTAGACGTTCGCAGAAAACAACTGGATGACAAAATGGAGGAAAATAAACGCCGCCAAGAGGAGTCAATTGAAAGTCGTGAACAACTGCTGCGAGAATTGGAGGAAGCTCAGAGAATGACAGCAAGAGAGAAGAGTGAAGAGGCAAGACTACGGAGGGAACGAGAAGAAGAAATTCAAGCACAGGTTGAAATCTGAAAATACACGTTTGTTTTACTGCTTATAATTAACTTCCCACTATTATCTTCATTCACAGAAACCTTCCGTTTTTATACCTACTTTCTCCCTCCAACACTGTATTTGTTTTGATCTTTTGAAATTGAACAGATAACTTCACGTAGAGAAAAGGCCAACGAAATGAAACAAATTGAAAGAGAAGAGCTAGAGAGGGAAAGGTGAGTGTGATAGTCATCAATAAACTATTGACGAGTTTCAATGTTAATGAAACTTTGTTTCCCCGAAACTCATGAAAGCTGCCTTTTGTTGAAATGGGCAGTTGCCTTTTGTCTTTTCGCCAATTTCTAACGCTTTTGTTGTGGTATCTTAAGAAGTTTACTGTGGGTGGAATGTTACGACAACAGTTTTGCACATAGCCTCACTGTACGTGTAAATTGCACTTTTTGTACTAGGCGAGAGAAAGAAGCATATGATAGAATGTTGAGACATGAGGCAGATCATATGAAAGCGAGAGGACCTCATGCAAGGGTGAGTATAACATGTGCTGTTCTTAACTACCAGTTGTGCTTACTTTGTGTTACTTCTTAGTATTTGTATGTACATTGTCCAACAAATGGGGGATAAGATTTGCTAAACGTATCAACTAGATACAAATCAATGTGACATTTTCACCTGATTGAGGGATGTGTTGAAATTGTCTGAAAACTATGCCCCGTTTGTGCCGAACTTTACCCCGGTTTCTCTAGCGTAAAGCGATTACGAATTCTTTGTACACCCCTGGAGGGTATTCTACTCTATCTTGTTTTACCCACCCGTCCCTTCGTCAGGTCACTTTAACCTTTTGACCCGTAAGGCTGGCTACCATCTAATTTCTCCCCTCTATATCCCCCTCGGATCACACATCGAGGTCACGAGATTAACGGAAATGATCACCAACTAAAGAAGCTGTTGATTTATAGACAAATTCTCCTTGTCAGCACCTAAGAAAATGTAAAGAGCACATTATGGAGAATATGCATACTTATGTTGAGGTGTGTTCGTATTTGTTTTTGCATCCGTAGTTTGTTCCGAGAAGGAGAACAGCATTTGAATAGAATAACTTCCTTCGGATCAAATGGATTGTTACTTCATCTGTCTGAGGTAACAGCGTAAATATGGTTGTAAGGAAGTGTTTTTTAAGTGGTTCGCCGACTTCTTCACAGTTTGTCTCGCAACAGCTTTTGTCACACAATCATGAAATAGTAACCGCTGAATGAAACAGCATCAAAGACTGGAAAGGGACGCCATAACTATAAACTGTATCCTGCTGTAATGCTATCAGGCTTGGGCAGAAATGCATGAGTCAACATTTCATCGAGCAGGACTCAGTATCACGATTAGAAGTGTAAATTTGTCCAAGTTTTGGTTGATACTAAAATGTGTAAAGGTAATAGTTGTAAATAATAAATAAAGATCAATGTCGCGGGAGATTTCTCGAATGATTCTCTCGGCTCTTTTTTGTTTTGCTTGTTTATTTCTTTGTTTGTGTAAGGTGGGTTAATTAACGAACAGTTCATCAAAAGCTTCTAATTACGCTACGTTGTTTTAAACGAAATCAAGACATCAAGAAAGTTTTTCAAAAACTGGCAATGCGTTTATTTCCTTGTGCAAATGGTACATTTTAAAAAGCCTTTATTTTTTAAGTTTCCTAAACGTATTCGACAAACGTTTGACCATCATTCTACAAGCTCTTTAAAACATCTTTTATTTCAGCTTCCTCTATCCGTAGCTACGTAGCATAGGTTCAGAGCCACCGGTCATAGAAAATTTAAGGTAGCAATTAAAGATTTGGTGTTTCACAACTCCAACATCCACCTTACAAAAATCAGATTAAAAATAAAGCTAGCCGTTTATTATCTTCTGTGGATGAAAGCGCTCTAAATTTTGGAAAAACTTGAAACATGTTAGAGCATTCGCACTGTGTAATTCGTCTACCGCCAGTGCAGTTGTTTATACCGGAAACTGAGTGTGGATCCGTCACCAGGCCTTAGATCATCCACACCCGTAGTGGCCGATTTTTCGTCCACATAGATCATCCAGTAAAATTTATCGACTGGTCTGCGTTGGACACCACAGATAGACGTCACCGAGTTGCCGTAGGAGGTTTTTTGGGTGGTGAATGCGTAACAAGAATTTTTTTTGGCAGCTTCTTTCAGGATGTCATAAGCATTAGTGCCATTTGCTACTGTCACGCACTCAGTGGTTGGAGCTGTTTTTCCTTTGGTGTATTTGTTGGTGTTGACGAACTTCAGCTCAACGCAGACGGTTATATTCTAAGTCAATCAAAGGAAAAACACTTAGTTGTTTTTAATATTCTACAAATGTTTGGTTGCAATTTCAACAGAGTGAGTTATGATATGTCACCGTTATTTCAGAGGTGTTAAACTTTAGTTATAAGCGGTCACCATATCACGATAGAGAGGAAGGTGATGGTGGGGACATAACAAAGATAACCCCTCCTGTCATGCCTCTCTCTGCGACTCAAACTAATAAACACGAAATGAATTTTTTTGCCAATCTCACCTGTTGTTCTTGTTGATCTGAAAGGGAAAAATTCAATTGCGTTAGAGACTTAAACTTGAGTTATCCACACAACAAAACCCATTTGAATTTAGAGAAGAGAAACCCAGTGCGTTTTATCACTCTTGCCGCACAAAAGCAAACAAACTTCAGGGGAGATTCCACTGGGAAGGAGAACAGGTGTAACTGCAGGTGGACAGAAGGCTAACGCGTCTGCACTTACAGCGGATTTGCTAAAGGTCGGTATGTAGGGTATAAAAGGTCACAACTTTTCCTGTAAAACACAGCTGTCAGTTACCTGACACGTCTGTAGTTCTGAGACACGCTATGTTTTTGACATCGTGGGGCAGCGCTCCGATCAAGGCTGGTGTGACATAAAGTGTGCTCAACAAGTTAATGAAAGATCCATCGGGTTTTTGACGAGACACGAGCCAGCGTAAAGTCGTCGAACACCTTTTTGTCTTCCATCCGGCTGCTAAAAGAGCCTAGACATGAAGAAATGTGATCAGTGTAAAAATTCACCCTACATATACAGTATGTTATGGAGCTGATTGATAGGTAGTGTGAAAAATAATCAATTGTCATTTGCGATCCAGGTTTGTCTTCTCATTCCTTAACATCTCGGTTCCCTGTTAATTTATTCCAGTTTTGCGTTTTCAGAGCTTGAAGAAAATACATATTCAGTAAGACTCAAGCAGCTCAAGGGCAATTCTCTACGACGCTCAAACTTCTTGGAATTTCGTGACTTAGCCCCTTCAAATCACAGAATATGAATTGTGTGACAAAACAAAAGACAATTGGCGTGATAGAGAATTAGTAACGTACTTGAGAGGCAAGAGCTGCCGTGACTTCGTTTTCCCCAAACGTGCTATCATTGATTTGAGCCTTAAGCAACTTTCTACACCCCAAATTGACAGCTTTTTGGATCTTCTTTTCAAGTGCCTTCTTTTTCTGCCCTTTTATGGAATTCTTGATACAGGTTAACGCCATTATTTGCATTGCAAGCGTGTCGGCATGGTAACTGGCAGTGTGAGATTCATTTTCTACTTTCTTCAGGATTTCGTTCACATGGCCAAGCGTCTTCCTCTCTAAAGGTGCGTTGCTGCTACAGAGAGCCATAACAGCTAGGCTGTACTGAAAAGGGTGATTAAAACCCAACTGAGGGAACTTGGTTAGTTTGTCTTTCAGACTTTTTATCAAATTGAAATCATAAAAGTTGCTGGGGTCTTTGCACGTAGCCAACGCGCCGAGAATATACAATGCTACCCTACCCCCGGTCAGGGAACCAATGTCAGCTTTAATGATCTCCGCATTCAGATGCTCAGCACCAGTCTCCACAGAGTGACCAGTAAGACGCAGAGAGTTGAACGCAAACGCACTCACGTGACCCAATCCGTAAGTGCCATTTTCGTCTTGTTCATTCCTTAACCATTCGGCAGCTCTAACGGCCGCGCGCGTGATGCTTGTTCGCAGGAGTCTGGTACCTGAAACGCGTCAAGTGTCAATAATGAGCTACAGCTTAGAAATGAGGCTATATATCACGATCGACTGATTTCTGCGCTGTTAGAAAAAAGTCGCTTCTAATACTTCGAACACTGAGCACTATGACTTATGGTCACTCAGAACTAAACTAGGCAAAATTGATTTGAAAAACAAGCTGTGATGGAGTTTACCGTAAGCCTTTACACCCTAATTTCATTATGCATATTCTCCATACTGTTCATTATACATTTCCTAACATGCTCACAGGGAGAATTTGTTTACTGATCCAAAGTGATATCGTAAGGAAAAATTAGATGCTGGTCACTCTTAGGATTTAAAAGGTAAAGCGTGTTTAAGGAATCCATAAGGGGATAACTAACAATATGTTGAGTTGTGGTCACTGAAAATTATGCTAATTGAAAGGAAACCTGCCAGAGTAAACTAACACCAACTGAGGCGCGAGAAAGAAAGCTGTAACGCAACTCTTATCCGTGACAGAGAAAGAATATTAATTATGTTGTAAAGACAATGGACAAATTCTTTGTTTTACATATAATGGGTTTAACAGCCCAACTTCACGCTTAGTATAATCAGTTCAGAGTCTATTTTTCCCTTTTTTTAATTTGTGTTTGTCTGTCAATTTATTTTTTTTATCTTTCGGTTTCGCTTTCAAGTGATTTTATTCTCCTCATTTTTGGCAGAATGGGAGAACAAAGGTTACTGCCACACGCAGAGATGGAAAATAACTAGAAAAGTCATATTGAGATTTAGCTAACAAAATTTCTTTTGTACATGGTAAGAAAACTGCATCCCAGCTATCAACATCCAGGGAAAGAGAGTTTGAAGACGATCTCCTTTAGTCGCTCGCCTCAACAAAATCAGCCGATTGAAAGCACTGTGACTGTGAGGAAGTTAATACCCAAGTGCGCAAAAAATTAATTACACATTTTTTTAGCATTATGATTCAGCGAATAGCTGGTGGGCAATAGGAATAACTCATTGAACTGCTCTTCTGTTTGTACGACTTCGTCTCCGGGCATATTAAGACTCTAGGGAAGAAAATCGAATTTTCCTCTCGAACAACATGTCTTGAGCTGACACAAAGAGGCATTCTAAAATACTCGGATCTTCCGTTATCCTTAATTTAGGTCTGCGTATCGCGTAACCAAAATTAATAGACCGTATGATGTTTAGCTGTTAGGCCCAAAGAGCGGAGAAAGGTTGGAAAAGTTCATTGCCTTGAAAATTGCACACGTCAGATGTGATGAAATATGCTGAGTTTAGCATTAATGTCATTTAGCATGTATTTCTATGTTTTACTCAAATGATTTGTGGAAGAACAGTAACCCATATCTTACCGCAATATCCTGTGGCTTGAGAGAAAAGGGCAACAATCGCCAAGAGCGTTAATAGTTGGAAGTTCATGGCGGACATTCGCCTTCAAAAGTTCAGGTTCTAGAATCGGGAGCAGCGACGAAAGGAAATGTTATGTGACAGAGGAAATTCTGAGGTTAATCCTTTAATATCACATTACCAGTGAGTTCCAGACCCCAGCAACATCAGGCGCACATCAGTACCAGGCAAACGTCCGCCTTGGCGCCAAAAAAAGTAACATTTGACGGGTACTGAAAATTGAATACAGAAAAAGCCTGATTCCTTTTGCATCGATTACAAAACATGGGGAGAAATTTCTGCACTCGTCCTTGAAAACTGTATTTTAGACAATAGTTATGTCATGCCTTCTTATAGATTACATGAATATTTTCTGCACCCCTAAAAAGTTAAGTGAAAATGTTTGATAGACTTCTTCATGATTAAAATGTTCTGGAGAATATCTTCCACTCTTTTTATGAGATAACATGTTTATGCTGCCATAGTAGGTTATATCAGTGCTTAGACAACTTGTCTGGATTGTTGCGTACATACGGTCGAACTCCTCACAGCTCAGTGGGTAGAGCATCATGACAACCTCATAGGCTCCAAACGCGAGCTCAGGAAACTTGTCTGTTGATTTTTTGTGTTTTTGTTGTAAATCGGAAACTTAATAATAAATTACCAAGTTCAGCGTATGTTTGTTTGTTTTTGTAAAAGTTACTTGAAAATGGCTAATTCTTAGCAAAACGTTACAAAAGTCACAGACTTCAGCCTAACGTGTGGAAATCTGTAAATAGAGTCTGAATTTCTTTTCTCGTCGTATGGGAGTACACTTATGCCGCTTGAGTTGATCTCGGAACTACTCAATAGTCAGGGGAATTGATCTTCGTGTTTTTACTTTCAATAATGTCTTTTGATTGTATTTTGTGCATTTGTCTGTTTTCCTATTTTATACTTTTTCGGTAATATTTAATTCATCTCTTTTACTTGTATTCCGATGTGAAAAGAATATTTTGTTTGCCTCAGAGAGCTTTTTGTTTAGGAATTTGTACTTAAATCAGATGTA